ATTTTCGATGAAGTTTCCTCCGCTTCTGATTTCTTCTGGCCTGATCCGGCCCGGAGGACCATTAAATGTCGCCGACCCTGTCGTGCCTCTGGTGGAGGCCGGGACATTTATTGTAGCGGAGGAAAAACGTAGATGAATTTTGAAGAATATATTGAAGAATTCCGGACGATAGATGATGATGAACGGTAGACGAGGGTGAAATTGAAGAACGCAAAGTAGACAGGTAGACCAGAAAACACAGTAGCACTGTCGATGGTCACTGTTGTCCGCCGAGGCGGACACACCGGCGCCGCCGCGGACGGGGGCGCCGTCGGATTCACTCGCAATACGCCGGCGCGCGTCGGGGCGCCGGCGAAATCGCGCACTGCCACTGAGCTACGCGCTCAGTGGCGTTCACTTTGGCAGCCCACTGGGGGTGCCCGTTCACTTTAGCAACCCGCTGGGGGTGCCTGTTCACTGCGGCAATCCGCTAGGGATGCCGTTCACTCTGGCAGCCCGCTGGGGGTGCCGTCGGAATCGTGCGCGGTGCACGATTCCGTCACTTCACTGACACCGGCGCACATCGGGGCGCCGGTGGAGCCGCGCACCGCCACCGAGGACTGTACTCGGTGGCGTTCAAGTGGAGACTGCCCGCAGCGACTCGAGGAGCCGCCGCGGGCACAAAGAGAACAATTAGGTTGTACATCTAAAAGCACTCAGAAAGCGACACTGGAAACTGGTGAGAAAAGTCTGAGCAGGCTCGCGCGGCACGTTCGGTTATACGATACGGTGCGCGGCGAGCACGAACAGCCGACAAGTGTGAAGCGATAGCGCGAGTGACAAATTGTAGGCAATTAGAACTTGAGACGAGAAACTAACACAAGAGCTGGTCCAGGCTCACGGGGCACGACCAGTACTGCGATAGATCACGCTTGGCTTCAAATGTAAAAACGAAAGAGAAGAACAACAGGGCAGTTCATTTCGTCGGTGACAATCTCGCTTCCTCAGTTAGGAAGATGGCCGAATCTGTACTTGTTTACCTATGTTTTGACCATCTAGATTTTAAACATTTGGCTGGTGCCTGCAACATGTTAGGAGAATGTGGAAAATTAGAACACCTGTGAAATGTAAATGTGATTACTGCTCACTGTCCAGTCTTCAAAAACACATTTCAGTAATTCAAGTCCTTTTTGTCCTCACCTTTTTGATGAATGTGCAAGTTTTTTTTGTAGGCAATACTTCTTTGATTACAGGTGAATTTAACAGTTATAGACTGCAATTGAGTTTCAAAATTGTGGGTATTTGTGGGGCCAACTCAGCCAAAATCAGCCTGCTGGTATTTGTGGTTGGACAATGAATGGCTGCTGGGTGGGACGGGTACTGAAACTGCCAAAATGTGGCATCTTTTGCAGGGATAAGCTAGAATCAAGAATGCAGTTTTTTAGTATGCCGGTAATTTGGCGGTTTTTTTTGCTTGGGGCGTGGTAGCATGCCGGTATCCCAGAAAATTTTTGTGGGGCGGGGCGGTGCCGGTAGCAGCCTTTGGGGGAAACTTTGCAACTCTAGTCGCTTTGAATGACCCAACCTCAAGTCACTTTTTTGCAACTTTGTCACCGTGCCAGAGCTACAGATGTCGGAGGCCTTTGAAAGTCGCAGGATGTTATTAGGTCATTAGTAGCTACAATTTGTATATCTCGGAATTTTGATATCGGTGACCTAAGGTCAGGTCAATTTCGCGACCTTCCCATTATAAGTCAATGGGGGAAAAATCAACTCCCTGTTTTTACCACTAAAACGGGTCGGAATGGCCCCATATACCATACATGACTTCATATACGATCAACCTTCACTACCTTGAGGTCTGTTTTGCTGTTGGGCAGCTGTAAGGTCATGTGCGGTCATCAAAGGTCACCAAAGGGTTTTTGCCAATAACTCCGTACAGGAACAAGATACAGCCGCGCGGATGGTCTCATTGTGTTCAGCTCGTCAAGACGCATCGAATGATATACATGATGACCTCGAGGTCACGTGACCTGAGGTCAACCTTTGACCTTAACCTTTCGAGGTCAAAATATATATCATTCGATGCGGATTGACGAGAGGATCACGATGATGCCCCGTAGTTTGTTCCTATCTTGACTAAATCGAAAGTTATTCGAGAAAAACTCTCTTCATATCTAGCGCCGCCATTTTGACTTTTTTGACCCCTGTGACGTCATCTTTGACCTGACCTGAAAATGACCTTAGTAAAAATTGTAGACCTTGACCGTGCGTATCCGATGCCGTTTACCGCTTGTCGCTATCTTGCTTCGTTCTCGAGATCTCAGGGGGGGCGGTCATCCGCCCCCCCCCCCGTCGGTACGAAGTTGGCGCAGACCCCCGTCGGTGCGCGTGTTAACCCGCGCCCAGATGGGGTCTGCCGAGCAACGTGGTCTGATGGGGGGGGGGCCATTTTGGCCCCCCCCCCCCTCAGATCTCGAGAACCACGCAACATAGCGACAAGCGGTAAACGGTGTTGGATAGCCCCAACGGGGAACTACCTTGTGACCCAATTTCATTGACCTCAGTCAAACCGATGACGTCACAGGTCAGGTCAAAGGTCGAATTTTCACCGTTTACAGGCATTTCAAGAAATGCGTTGTAAAATCGTGTAAAATGCATTTCATTGAAAATAATCGATGGGGAAATGTTCTTCAAACACATATTTTGCTATTTGAGGTCACTGATACCAGGTCAGGTCACAGAGGTCAGGTCACTGGGGGGGTCACAATATGAATGTGTCGTGTGATACATGTTTTATGGTCCATTTTACATGACAAATGCGATTATGTGGGTCAGACAGACTTAAGGGCCAGCTTAGGTCACGTTTTGGTCAAGTTCAGGTCAAGGTCAGTTCAAGGTCAGGTCAAATTAGGTCAAATTTCAAAGTTGATATTTTTGCATAAAATGGGTATCGATTCGATGCAGCTCGTCACGGGGAGTTCAATGGTGGTCTCCGTTTTGCGCTACGAACTCTAGAATTGCTAAAAATTGAGTTCAAAATTTGACGTCATCAATTTTTAACAGTTTTTTCGCTATAACTTGGCCAAAAAAAGAGGTATCGATCTAAAATTTGGTATGTATATCAAAGAGCGCAGGGACTATCACACATATTCCGGTTTTTTCGAAATTCGAAAAATTTTTGGAAATTTTTTGAGTTTTTCTAAAAAAAATCAATTTTTTTTATTTTTGGGGGTCAAAAGCCCAAAATTTCGAAAATCCGAGATAGCAGTTTTGTAGCGCCGTCTTTTCTCTACACAACCACATAAAGAACTTTAAAATTGCTTGTTAACTGTAGAATTGGTGAGCGTTTCAAGATGTCATGTTTTTTGCTCATTTTTACTCGAACATGACCTCAGTTTGACCTCAATAACTCCTGACCTGAGGTGACCTGTGACTTGAAATTTTGTGTAAAGGTGTCAAATTGATGCGCGGTAAGGTACCCAAAATTTGGCGGCGCTGCGCGCCGCCGTTTTCTCGCTATTTAAGAAAAACCACAGGGGGGGCCAAAATGGCCCCCCCCCCATCAGGGCGCGGGTTAATGCATATGGTATGCATGTAATGCTGTCATTATCTCTTTTGGGTGAAAAGTGAACGTTGAACATTTTCAGTGAATTCAGACATAATTACCTGTCATCACTGCCAAAATACGACAGCTGGCATCTCGCGTCGATCCTGCTCAATAGAGCGACAATTCGGTTCACCCATTTGCCGATGCATTAAGCGTCTCGTAATGTTGCGCTCGGGTCCGAAAAGGTGCGCTCCTCTGCTAAAAGGCCGAGACCGGAACTGCTTCAGATAAAGGACCGGGTCTGAACTAAAAGACGCCCTGGGAAAACACATCCCACTCTATCTATTGTTGCTTCTTGCGCTTACCCACTGACTTTGCCTGAAACGGTCTGGCGTGAATTTGAATGGAGGAAGACAATGGCGACTCTGCTGTTGTTGCACTATGCTGCAAATTTATCATGTTTTAGTTTCTAGCGGCCCTCGGCTGGTCGGTTTGTTCTGGCTGTCAGTGCCAGGCGGTGTAGTTGATATTACATATATGCAGCGGCGCAGTCAACAGAAATATTTTTAGAAGCATGTAGTTCACCAAGCCAGACTGAAGCTGCTACTGCCTTTGCGACGCCTCTGCGCCATTGCGTTGCTTGTTTTTGATGATTTTCACAACACCAAAAGCAAGCCTTCATTATCCAGAAGCGCCACTTCTGTATTATATGAAGTGGCCGTCTGCCGCAAACAAGTTTTTCAGCCAGTTTACTGTTGGCCGGGTATGATGGGTATCCACTAACATTATTCCGGTCGGGTTCGCCGCTGGCGTGCAGTTACCGTTCATTGGGATATTATAGTGACTGAGAGTTATGGCCCCGCTACGAGGGCGGGTGGCTCCTCGTCAGTATGTGCTCTGTAAACCGGCGGTAGTCCGCCCGCGCAGCGGAGGGGCGGCGCCGGCCCCCGGCCTCGCAAACACCACGGCCAAAGTCGTACCACTACCGCGGATAGTTCGGGCACTGGAGCAACGATGGATAGCGTAAGGGGCTATTCTGCTGCACGACAAAAGAGTGACATGGTGCGCAATATGCATCGTCGGGAGAATCGCTCCATTGATGTGACGCGAGGAAGGACTTCGGGGTCAAAATATAAATATTTTCGTTTTGTCAAAATAGCATCGACCAGAAAATCAGCGCTCGTTTGCATGCACTGTCCAAGTAAATGGCCGATAAAGTAATTGATTAGTGAATGTGACGTGACGTTGTATGGGCGCGTCGTCCGACTTTGTCACAACCCTGTGAACATTCCGTCTGACCATGTTAGAAGTCTGAGGGTATCGTCTGACCGCGTAAGAAGTCTGCTAGTGTTCCATATGAGTTTGACGTCTCCGAGGCTGGGTGTGGTCTGATCATGTAGCCTGTTGGGGAATCGTCTGACCCGTCTCCCTGCGAGGGTGCGCTCTAACCGCCGCCCGCTCTCTGTCTCAGGTGGAGCGACAACTGACGGACCGCAAGCGGCGCCGGGAGCGCAGTCCGTCCAGCTCGGACGGCGAGAGCCACCAGTCGTACTCGAGCCGGCGCCGGTCGCGCTCGCCGAAACCGGACCGGTCCGACAGGTCAGTCCGTCAGTCAGTCAGTCAGTCAGTCAGTCAGTCAGTCAGTCAGTCAGTCAGTCAGTCAGTCGGTCAGTCAGTCAGTCAGTCAGTCAGTCAGTCAGTCAGTCAGTCAGTCAGTCAGTCAGTCAGTCAGTCAGTCAGTCAGTCAGTCAGTCAGTCAGTCAGTCAGTCAGTCAGTCAGTCAGTCAGTCAGTCAGTCAGTCAGTCAGTCAGTCAGTCAGTCAGTCAGTCAGTCAGTCAGTCAGTCAGTCAGTCAGTCAGTCAGTCAGTCAGTCAGTCAGTCAGTCAGTCAGTCAGTCAGTCAGTCAGTCAGTCAGTCAGTCAGTCAGTCAGTCAGTCAGTCAGTCAGTCAGTCAGTCAGTCAGTCAGTCAGTCAGTCAGTCAGTCAGTCAGTCAGTCAGTCAGTCAGTCAGTCAGTCAGTCAGTCAGTCAGTCAGTCAGTCAGTCAGTCAGTCAGTCAGTCAGTCAGTCAGTCAGTCAGTCAGTCAGTCAGTCAGTCAGTCAGTCAGTCAGTCAGTCAGTCAGTCAGTCAGTCAGTCAGTCAGTCAGTCAGTCAGTCAGTCAGTCAGTCAGTCAGTCAGTCAGTCAGTCAGTCAGTCAGTCAGTCAGTCAGTCAGTCAGTCAGTCAGTCAGTCAGTCAGTCAGTCAGTCAGTCAGTCTGTCAGTCAGTCAGTCAGTCAATCTGTCAGTCAATATGTTGTCAGGAATGCAGCATGCTATCGATCAGACACAGTTTGCTGTCAGCCAGTGAGTCAGTCAGTCCGGCTCATCCCCCCGCTAGCTAGTCGTTTCCATGCCACGTTATGATCGGCAGCAGTATGTGCCGAACTTCTCTCTCCGCGTCGATATGCGGTATCTGTCTCTGATGTGCTAAACTTATTGAAAGAGCTACGTTACGTAAACTCCGTCGACTGAACTCAATATCACTTCCTCTGTCAGTCTCTGCGCGCTGTCTCCAGTGTGCGCCCCTCGCTCGACTGCAGTGTGTGACCTCTCACCCCGCCACAGGTCGCGGCGCCGCTCGCGCTCGCACTCGCCGCCGCGCCGCCGGCGCCGCTCCAAGTCGCCCCCGTACCGTCGGTCGCGGTCCCGCTCGCCCGCCTACCGGCGCTCGCGGTCGCGCTCGCGCTCCCGCTCACCCAGCCGCAAGATGCGCAAGAAGTCCAAGCGCTGAGTGGGAGACGGGGGGCGCGGAATGGTGTGCGCGTGGTGGGTGACTTTGTCGAGCTGCCAGCGCTCAGAGGGCGGACGGACGCGCTGGGGTGAGACGGACGGCCGCTCCAGGCTGTGGGACGGGGCGGGGTGGGGAGGAGGGAGGGAGGGAGGGAGGGTGGGGTGGGACTGGTGGGTTTTGAGATATCGAATGTCCCTGCCCAATGAGTGGCCGTCTGCTGCCGCGTTCTCAAGTGTCTCGAGCCGCAGCTGTGGCGCGCGCTGGGACGGGCTGGGGAGCGGCTCTGGCCGGCGCCTGTGGTCCGCCTGTCCGGACGGACTGAGATGATGTCCCCGAGGGGCCTCTGTCCGTCTGTCGCCGCCCATGGCTCACCCTCTGCTGTAATACACGGACTCACGCGGAACGGTGTCTGGTGGGGTGGCGATTCAACTGACCTGAAGAATCGCACGACCCACGTGGAATGGTGTACGTAAAGGGCTGAGGATCGGTCATACGTGGAGAGGCTGAGAGAAAAATCAGCCACCATTGCTGGGTAAGAGACGACAGACACCATCCCTTTACTGACATTTGGCATCAACATAACAATGCTCATGACGGGGTAAATAATTGTTTGAACGTCATGTTGAATGTGGTAGGAATAGATGGTTGCTGATGCAGTGTTGATTCAGCTATAATTTGATCTTGAAAGGTCAACTTGAAAATTTGACTTCAGGTCAAAGTCCTGACTTAACCGGAAAAGGTCATGCTGCATATCAGTTGATCCGTATCGTCGAGCCGAACACATCTAAGGCGTCTTTATCGCTCTAGCATTCATCTACCAGGTTCAGACTTCAGTGTGCCAAGTTAACTTTTAATTAGGTGTTAAGGTATTTAGAATGATGTTCGTCTAATACACCTTTTTGCATTTGAATTCAACCATTCGCCATAACTGTTTGAGGAGCCGTTTCGACAATCGGCATTGAGCACAACTATTCCGGCGTGGTGTGTTTCATTTCAGCCATTCAGCAAAACAGATTGAACACTGAAATGAGCGATCTGCAAAACAGTTTAACAGTTCGCCAGACTTCGGCATAGAGGGAGCCAGCTCGGCATATGACGACTATGTAGTTTCGACCATTGACGATTTGTTTTGCACAATGCTGAACGATTCGTTCAATGTCGAGTTCTAGAGGAAGATCGCCGAATAGTTTTGCACAATGGTGATTCTTTGTGACCAACCGCCCATTTGCAGCGCCACCTATATGGCGAATGTGTACAAACGTTTTGCCCAATGGTCAAAAGCTAACGCAAAAAGGTGTAAAGTATGCCTCTTTAAATTTTCTCTCATTGTCTTTTAGTGGAGAGGGCGCAAAATTGACCTGAACTTAGGTCATCGATGTCAAAATTTCGAGACCAGCATTTTGTACATACTGCTGCTGTTATTTATTGCTGAAAGTTTCAAAGCGATCGGTCACTCGGTGTAGTTATGGCAGGCATTGCAGCTTTTTTATGAGGTGAGGTCACGTGACGTGACCTGTTGACCTGACCTTGAGTGACCTTGGTCTAAAAAAATTACAACGTGTGTAGGAAAGATGCATGATCAGGTGTGCAAAAAAAAAACGGCGGCGCGGAGCAGGGGGTTCTTCAAACACTCCTCCCCCCCCGCGCAGGCGCGCAGGGCGCTGGTTAATAACTACTTGACATCCGCAAATTTTGTCCTTATCGGAAGCATTTTTACACACACACACAAAAAGGGTTGAAAATATCTTATGCCAATTGTCACGGCGGTGCAGACTGTTGGGTCCGTTCATCCGTTGCCTGCATCGTAGAATGGGCATAAATGGGTGCATGACTGTATAGGCTGTGCCGCACGGCTCGACAGTTCCCTGACCGGCCGATAGATGGCGTTGGAAGTACTGCGCCTGACGCATGCTGTTCCGCAATGCTTCTCTGTCTGCAAAAAAGCCGCCCGGCGTGTAGCGGGAGTAGGTACCTACTGTGGCTGGCGGTACATACACTACTCACCGATAATGCATTAGATTCGAAACTTTTTTGGCAAGAAACGTGTCGTGTGCATTAATCCGGGCCGGGCCGGTGCTCTGAGATTCCGCGCCGGGCCGGGGGGGGGGGGATGTCTGAACACACACACCCTTCTAACTCGGCTCCTGGGCCACGTAGCGACACACGGTAAGCGGCAATCGAAAGAACGTCCAAAATAAGGACGAAAACACTTCAGTCATTTTTTGGGTCAGGTCAAAGGTCAGGTCACCAGAGGTCACCAAAGGTAAAATGTTGACTATTTCAACATTTTGGAAACTGCCAACGGCTATCTCGGGAACCGATAGAGCTACAGCGCCGCAGAAAGCGCATTCGATAGCCCTTTTTAAGAACTTTCTGATTAATGTACTCAGATTTGACCTCAGGTCAACGGTTTAGCCTCCAGAGGGCAAAAACTCCAAAAATAGCCGTTTTTACGAAAAGCGTTTTTTCGGCAATAACTTTTGACTCAAAAGAGCCATGACATTACTTTTGCCAGCATCGTGTTCCTCTCGTCGAGACGCGTCGAATGAACTATAATTTGACCTTGAAAGGTCAACTTGAAAATTTGACCTCAGGTCAAGGTCATGACCTGACCGGAATAGGTCATGTTGCATATCAGTCGATCCGCAACGTCGAGCCGAACACATCTAAGGTGTTTTCAGCGCTCTAGCACGCCTCTATCAGAAGTTATTAGCGAAAAACTGTTAGATTCTGTTCGTGACCTGAGATGACCTCGGGGACATAATCAGGGGTCACAGTTGCCATTTTCCGGTTCAGTGTGTCAATTTCACCTACATCTCGATGTTTGAGAGTGTCTAGAATAGCTTTCGTACAAAACAGACGCTTTTCAATTTTCTCCCGTTGACTTATAATGGAGAGGTCGCAAAATTGACCTGACCTTAGGTCACAGATATCGAAATTCCGAGATATACATTTTATAGATACTGTTGCTCTTATCAATCGCTGAAAGTTTCAAGGCAATCGATCGATTGGTGTAGCTATGACGAGCATTCTTATTTTTTCTGAGGTGAGGTCACTTGGCGTGACCTGGTGACCTGACCTAAGGCGACCTGGGTCTGAAATTTGCACAACATGTGCGGAAAAGATGCCCGAACAGGTGTGCCAAAAACCGCAGGGGGGGGTGTTCAAACACCCCCCCCCCCGGCCCGACGCGGGTTAAACAATGAGGTCAAATATCATTTTCGGCAAAAACATACCTGTCATTGGGCCCTGAGGCCTCCGCTTGACGTTACAACAACGCGTGTGGATGCGTTCTTTACCGAACCCGAAAAGTTGAAAGGCGACGTGAGATTGCTGATCTAATGGCTCTCATGTACCTATTTCGTGAAAAGCTGCGACCTAAATAAATCATGTTTGGTAAAGCGCTTATTCTGACTTGTTGTATTCAATCATAAATGCTTTGAATTACACAGCAACGCGTAAGGAAGAGGAATGCGAAGAATTTTGGGGAGTTGGAAAACTTTGGGCAGTATCTACTCACCACAGAGCCAAAACGCTGTTTTTCTGGATCACTTATGGAATTACCAGGCTCCATGTGAATATTACAAAGCACCAATAGCACGCTACGCAAAGAGATTTTGAAGCATAGGTGTCTATTTATGCCCGTTTACCTACATGCTGGATGATGTTATCAGTAATGTTTACGTAAGAATTTCAAATATTGCATTGAAACAAATGCTCTACTGTTCATTGCTGTCTTCAGGGACCTCACACGGGGGCGTGCGCGGTGGATCTGCACAGCGTCACTGATCACAATGGAGTGGAAATGTGGTTGGCAGCGGCCGTCGGTAGTTTGTCATCTGCGTCACGGTCCTCTACTGTAGCGGATACATGCAGAGCAGTGGCCGCACCTGGCCCTGGCTGATTTTTCTGTCGTACCACTCGCCGTCGGCGCTCTTGATGACGGCGATGAGACCGCCGGGGTGGCTCAGCTCGTTCGGCTCGCCGCTGTGCCACAGGATATAGGGGGCCGGCGAGTTGTGCACCTCGGGCGGGTCCCCCTCGGCCCAGACCCAGTTCTGGGCCGGCGCCGACCGGTACAGCGCCAGGTGGGCCTCGCTCTCGCCGGCCGCTGACAGCAGTCTCTGCACCGCGCTGCTCTCCTCTGCGGAGTGCACTGCCACCAGTGCGGCGCCGGCTGTGACGTCAGGACACTGGCGCACACCCTCCAGCCAGGTGCCGCTGCCGATCCAGAAGTAGCCGGTGGTACCCAGTGTGCCGGCCGGGGTCACCAGACGGCACGTGGTCGGCTCGGAGGCTGGCACCACGCCGCCACAGCCGGCGGAGCGGGCACAGAGCGCGGCGCACTCCACCAGCGAGCGGGTCCGTCCGGGTATCGGGGAGGGGACCTCCTGCACGGTCACGGTGCTGGGCGGGGAGGGGAACAGGGCCACGGACCGGGCCCGGTCGCCGGTGACAGCCGGCACCAGCAGCAGGAGCAGCGGCGCCGCCGGCAGCGAGACCATGGCGCCGGTCCCCGCTGGGCCGGCCGGACCCCGGGACGGCGACTGTGGCCGGTCAGAGCACCCGCCGGGGTGGCCGCTTTGTTGTGGCTCGATACGGACGGCCAAACGGCAGCGTGATTGGACGCCGGCTGCAACAATGGGTGCACCCTCGGCCGGTTCTGGCAGCAGAATAATGAGCCGGTCACACTGCCGCCCTGTCGTGTACCGCGGCCCAATGTAAACTCAATATCTGTGACGCCATCGAAACTACCCCGTGATTGATTATTCACGACCATTTCAGCCAGAGCTGTTAAATTCAATGCTATAGTCTTAGAAATTAAGCCGAAATTGGCACCCATTGCGTTGCCGGTGCTATTAGAACAAGTGTATTGTACCGCGATAATCCGTGCTTTGTGCGACATAAAACATCCATAGAACCACTCGTAACTGATGAAAACCGCTCATTGAAATTCATCGTTCTGTCTCTCAGAATTACCATAAACGTGTATGACTTTCTTTAGGAAGCTATTAAATTACAACCACGGCATTGCGAGCGAGTCTGTATAATGGGCACCGTTTCGTTAGGAAATGAAGACAGTCTTGGACTCGATTTGCTGCATTGCCATGGCCCTGGTGCTTATCAAGTCAGCGTAATGATTAATTTTTACATATAGTGATTCTCTGACTTGTGCGTTAAGCTCCCAGCGAATACCTCGTAGCACAGCAAAGCAAGTAAGCGCAAAAGAACGGCCAATCCTTGAAGATATGAAATAAGTCTTTTCATCATGGATAGCCCGCGCCCCGCTGGGGGGGGGCAGAATCTGCCCCCCTCCCGTTTTTCGCCAATAACTTCTAAACGCGTTACGCCAGCAACGTCAAACTTTCAGTACCTTATCATACATCAATTTGACACGTTTTCTGAAAATTTGAGCGAAATCCGTCGGAAATTTTTTGAGAAATTGACGTTTTAGTGACGTCATGTTCGCCATTTTCGCCTCAAAAACGGCAAAATTTCAAACGCCGCTAACATCTTCATTTTTAAAGGAATCAAGACGTAACAAGAAAGGTTATACGTGATTCTACTTTGTCTATCAAATGGCTATCTCGGTGTTTTGAAAATTTTGGATTTTGGCCCAAATTTTTTTGTTAAAAAGAACTGACTTTTTTGGGAAAATAGTTATAAAATCCAAAATTTTGAGTGTATCGAAAAAACCGGAATATATGTCAGAGAAGTGGTCTATGTGCACCTACATACCAATTTTTAGAAGAATCGGTTCAAAAATGTGGGAGTTATTCAAAATTTTATGACGTCACGACACACAAAATTTTGAAAAATGATTTTTTTTTAAGGTATAGACCTCGCACGGAAACAAAAATAACACCATTCGATTCGCCGTGAAAAACTGCATCAGAGAGACACCTTTTTAGGCCTTAAAAACCAACTTCAAAATTTGACCTCACTTGACTTGACCTTGACCTGACCTCGACCTGAAATTTATCCAGAGGTGGTCCATATCACTTATTGAGTGTGCCTATTGAATTCTATGAGTACAATGACCCATAAAACATGTGTCGCACATGCCCTTTTCTATATTTTGTTTTTGGTGACCTGACCTGACCTGACCTTGACCTTGACCTTTGAATGACATTGTATGCAACGAATATTGTCTTGGTAGTCTAAGAACATGTTTTGGGCAATCAGTCTCAGTCCATTCTTCGGCAACTACGGTGCAAGGCCGATACTGTAGAAACTTGCATTTTGTACCCTTGACCTGACCTTGACCTGACCTCTGACCTACTTAAGCAAAAAAAATTGGGCTTTTAAGATCCGTCTTGTTGAGAGCTTTCGCTTGCCGTTTTCCCCGTCTTTCTACGACCATCGGTTCGGAAGTTAGACAGGGGGGGGGGGGCAGAATCTGCCCCCCCCCCCCCAGCAGGGCGCGTATGGCAGAATAGCCCAGCGGGGCGCGGGATAGGTCTGATTGACATTTTACACACAACCGGCGTTATGGCGGAATGACTTTCCACGTAAACTTTTATTTTTGCTTTTAACCTGTGATAACAATGTTGACTGTCCGTCTGCACACGTTATCCTGACGAAACCGTCTGCCTTATTGCTGCGGCGGACCATTGCGCCGCCCTCGGCCCGGCAATGTCCTCCTGGCCACCACCGCGGGCCGGTCCAGTGTCTGTCCTCTGTCCGCGGCCGACACACCACTCTCGGTCCACCCCAGTGACGTCAGAGCAGCTCATTCACACTCCGCCGCCGCCGGCTGCGGGTCGAGCGCGTCTGGGCAGGCCTGATGAGTGTCCAGTGGCCGGGCCGGCAGTGCCCTCGACTGGGCCCAGTCGGCACGGGGACTGCACACCAGCGAGTCGGATCAGGGTGTGCTGCGCTGAGCTCCACCGGGGTAATTGGTGTCGGCGTTCGGTCGCAGCGCTAATGTGCGTAGGCTCGCGGATACGGGAGGCCGGGAGGCAAGCCTGACGCTGCTGCGCGCTAGTGGCTGCATTGCACAGATGCCCCTCTCTGATTGCGATAAAAAGTGAAATGTGCACCCCTCAAGTGATGAGAGTGTTTATCGTATGATTGCCAGTGGCGGATCCAAGGGGGGTCACATGGGTCATGGCCCCCCCCTTGAGGCCCGGGGGCCCAAAGACCTGCCAGGGGCACCACCGGCATATCAAGGGTATCACAGTCCTGACAGCGGCACCACAGGACCGCCAGGGGCACCACAGGCCTAGCAGGGACACCACGGGCCTGGTGCCCCTGGGCCCTGACAGGACTGTAACGCCCCTGACAAGCCTGAAGTGTCCCGGCAGGCACGTGGTGCCCCTGACAGGCCTGAGGCGCCCCTGCAAGGCCGGTGGTGCCCCTGGCAGGCCTGTGGTGTCCATGGCAGGCCTGTGGTGCCCTTGCTAGGCCTCTGGTGCCCCTGACAGGCTTGTAATGCCCCTGGAAGGACTGTGATGCCCCTGGGCCCTGACAAGCCTGAGGTGCCCCTGACAGGCCAGTGGTGCCCTTGCTAGGCCTGTGGTGCCCCTGGCAGGCCTCTGGTGCCCCTGACAGGCTTGCGGTGCCCTTGGAAGGACTGTGGTGTCCCTGGGCCCTGACAAGCCTGAGGTGCCCCTGACAGGCCCGTGGTGCCCTTGTTAGGCCTGTGGTGCCCCTGGCAGGCCTCTGGTGCCCTTGCTAGGCCGCTGGTGCCCCTGGCAGACCTCTGGTGCCCTTGCTAGGCCGCTGGTACCCCTGCGCCCGGAGAGGACTGGTGCCCCTGAAAAGTCTGAAGTGCCCCTCGGCAGGTCCGTGGTGCCCCTGACAGGCCCAAGGTGCCCCTGCGAGGCCGGTGGTGCCCCTGGCAGACCTCTGGTGCCCCTGGCAGGTCTTTGGTGCCCCTGGCAGGTCTGTGGCGCCCCTGGCAGACCTGTGTTGACTGGTGCCCCTGCTAGGTCGCTGGTGCCCCTCACAGACCTGTGGTGCCCCTGGGCCTTGACAAGCCTGAGATGCCTGGCTATGACAGGCTCGTGGTGCCCCTGATAGACCAGTGGTGCCCTTGCTAGGCCTGTAGTGCCCCTGGCAGGCCTCTGGTGCCCCTGCTACCCCTGCGCCCGGAGAGGACTATGGTGCCCCTGAAAAGCCTGAAGTGCCTCTCGACAGGCCCGTGGTGCCCCTGGGCCCTGACAGGCCCAAGTTACCCCTGCGAGGTCGGTGGTGCTCCTGGCAGGCCTCTGGTGCCCCTGGCAGGTCTGTGGTGCCCCTGGCAGGCCTGTGTTGACTGGTGCCCCTGCTAGGCCGCTGGTGCCCCTCACAGGCCTGCGGTGTCCCTGGAAGGACTGTGGTGCCCCTGCCCCTAGGGGTGCTCATGGGCCCAACAGGCCCGTTGTGCCCCTGACAGGCCTGTCGTGTATACTTGCTAGACCTGTGGTGCCCCTGCTTCCTGGCAGGCCTGTGGTGCCCCTGGCGGGCCTGTGGCGCCCCTACAAGGCCGTAGGTGCCCCTGACAGGTTTGTGGTGTCCCTGGAAGGACTTTGGTGCCCCTGACAAGCCTGAAGTGTCAAGGACAGACCCTTTAGACGCCAGGGTCAAGTTCGTCGGACTGACAACGATTTGCTTACCTGATAACGTTCCTGGTAAGTACTCACTACTCAGCGTCCACAACATATATACACATAGCACATTCATATATACTTGCTTACAATTGGTAAATGTGGTTGTGGCTAAGAGTTAAGATACTGACTAAAAATAAAAAAAAAATAAAAAAAACTGAAAATGGGGGCACCACCAAAATGAAGTGGACGAAATCCGTTGAGTTTTTAATTTTGGGTATAATTAGGGGCACCACTTCGATTCATGACCCTCCCCTTGGAATTTTCCTGGATCCGCCCCTGATGATTGCAATGTGAATATATTCCTATCTGCTTTACACGTATAAATGGTTTCCAGTCTTTAGTGTATGCTGCATAGACGAATTGTGCAGTTTAGTCGCTGATAAGATATCGATAGAATCGATGAACGTCATTAATTAGGTCACGAAAATAAACGCTTGATAAGACCGTGAACGTCGAATAACAGCGTTTGTGTGTACTTTTTAATTGATCATTGATCCAATCGATGCGAGTCGATGGGACCGGAATTCCGTAAACCAGCGCGCTGTCGAGACGCCGGAGGTCGCGAAAGTCAAACGGCGAATGTGGAAGGTCACGAGTCATGACCCCCACCGCGCGGCAGGCGGGTGCGACCTTCCCTACTGACATTGGCCAGTCCTTTATATTCCACCATCACAGTAAAAACCGTCTATATTTTGACATATATTCAGCTTTCCGCTGTTCCATTGACGACCAAGGGATTCTGATATGAAATCGTTGTCTTCAACCATTTCTATCGTTCCTGCAATATCTAATCAACTAATGCGATATTACACATATTCTAGCACTTCAATTCATTTTCAAAATAGTCGTATGATTACGGTCAAGCAAGTAAATCATTATGCGTTGAACATTTAATTTATTACCACTTAAAACGAATTATCCATATCTACTATTTCATACCGTACCCGGCACCTAAATCACGTCGCCTTGCATGCTCATGCGGTATTCTCGATTTTATTCATATAGACACCCTGAACACCAACATAGTTATGGGTGAGCCTCGACCGGGTCTCGTATAGCAGAGTGCGACCACGAGAGACTCCGAAACTTGGCTTGTCTCCTGATCCGTCCATCGGAGCCGCCCTCTGATCCAGTTCGGTCCCCGGCGCCGGCCCGTGCCGTCGTCCGCCGTCGCCTCCTCCGTCCAGCGACAACACACCGGATCGTCAGCTCGCGGGGCAGGTCACTGGGCCTTTGTCGATAGCGGCGATCCTCCTTCGGGAGCGGCTGCGTGTCGGGAGGCCCCATCAGCTCACTAGTGCTCATTGCCTGCGTGGAGGAGGTAATGTCATTAGCGACACGCAATGGCGACTCTCCTTATTAGTGGTACAGGCAATCGGAATCGATTCCAGAGAGCTCTGTCGCTCAGACGGGTCTTTGCCATTTGTCCCATGGCATAATGATTATTGTGGACGATGCACCAATCAAAATTCAAACAATTTTTTTTTTTTGCAATGTGCAATAGTTTGACATAGAAGGGCAAAACAATGTCTGTCATGATTAGCAATAAGTCGAAAGTTTTTTATTCACACTTAACGATATAAGGCAAAATGGAAAGATAAGGCCATATACCTAAGGCAAGCTTCGTTTCGTGAGATGATCAAGAAAAGCATAGTGAATCTGAGCAACAGCATTACTCCGTGTTGTTCATTATGGTGTCAAAAGCCTAAAAAGTAATTCTAAGAGTCTATACATTCCTAAATTACGATCATGGATGTATAAGATCATCATGTAATTTGTGATAAATATACTCGCTGTGATGCTGAAGTAGAAAGTGGAGACAGTCCAGACTCCAGAGTGACACATTATGGTCAAATTAGCCTCTTTGTCATGTGATAGTATTGTCAGTCATCATTCAGCGACCACTTACTCTGTCCTTTTTGCTCGCTGGTGGCGGCGGTGGTCTCGTCTGAGCCGCTTCTCTTGTCGGTGTCTCCCAGCACCTCCTTCCCCATGGTGTGCATGTAGCTGTCCACCAGCGCGTCCTCGCTCACCGACTTCTTCTTCCGGTCCCAGCCGAAGTAGTCGTCCAGGCTGCGCTTCCTCTTGGTGCCCATCTGTTCGTCCTCACCCACGTCCATTTCTCCGTCCTCGGGGCCGGACCCGAACGGGCCCACGTCTCGTTTGCCGGCGTCCGCGATCCTGGCCAGTGGCAGCAGGTCGTAGTCGCTGACGGCGGCCCGCTTCTTACCGGCCGCCTGCATCTGCGCCAGGTGCCAGAGGCTGTAGCTGTCGGCGCCGCCCGAGCGCTTCCCGGCCTTGGCCAGCTTGGCCATGTCGAGCAGGTCGTAGTAGCTGGTGACCGGAGACCGTTTGCCGGCCTCGGCCACGCGCGCCATGTCCCAGACGTCGCGACTGAAGTCGTCGCTCCTCTTCCGTCGCTCGTCGTCGCCGTCCTCCTCCGGCGCGCCGCGCTTCTTGCCGGCCTCGTAGATCTTGTAGACCTGCTTCAGGTCGTAGAGGTCGGGCGTGCGCTTGCGGCGCCCGCTGCGGTACAGCTTCTCCATCACCTTCAGGTCGTATGGCGTGATGGTGAGGTCGTATCGCGGCGACAGACCGTACGGCTTCTTGTCGCGCGCGGACAGCGGGCGCAGGCTCAGCCCGCTCAGAAACCGCTTGCTGAGGTCGTCCTCGACACTGTCTTGGTCGCCGTCGTCATACTCGTCGAGGTTATATCGCTTGTTGTTGTAGATTGGGTACCGATATCTGAGGAAGGTGTATATATTGTCATCGATAGATCGATATGGTATCGATCGTTTGTCATCGACTGAGCGACAGCCTAGTCGCTAATGCCATGTAACCTATTAAATAGCTCAAGCTGTTAGTCTTACACAAACGTACCGGGCACTTAACACGTTACTCTAAAACATTACATTGCAGGGCATGTGTGTCAAAGAAAGCATATCGGACTGAGGAAGGTATGCTCCGACAATAGCGGCTTCTAGGGTCACCCCGGGGTGACAAACGTGAGACACGAAATGGCACCGAACTCTGTCCAACACTCGTCGAACGACCCTCATTAGACCGCACCACCTGCGGGGTCGACTATTCGGGGACAGTCTCCCGGCGCGGGACAGCGGGCGATGTTGGCTAGACGGGATCGACTGGTGATGGCCATGGCAAAGTTCCATCGCGGTCATGGTATACTTGTTTGTCGGGCATTGTTTGTCGTGAAGATAGTCAGGAGACACGTAGTCAATTCAGTCGTTTGTGACATAAGGTACTGGAACAATATCACTCTTCGGAGGTCATACTCAAAACCACGGAAGTCATCATAAAAAGTCGTCAAAGTCATACAAAGTCATCTTGGATGTCTATGCCATGGCACAGCAGTCCTATCAGGTCCACACTACTGTTACAGCTGTCGTCTTAGGCTCAGTCTACTGTAACGCTGACGCGCTACATTTTAAACGAGTATTTCCAACATTCTCTCATGGCGACGACGGCGTGTGCACCGGGGTTTGGGCGCCGGCGCTGGCGTCACCGCACCGCCGCGCCGGCAAACAGCCCCCGGGCCACGCCGGACCAAAAGGGTACGGCCGGGGCGAGAGGGGACCCGGCCGTCAAAACAACCCGGGCGCAGAGGCGGAGGAAGGAAGAGAAGGAGGAGACCACGCGAAGACCAGGACGAACATCAGTACCTGAAGACGCCTCTGTCAGCCATGAGCAGCTGCACTGGGGAGCCGAGGGAGAACGAGGCCAGGGGGAGAGAAGAGGACAGTCGGGAGTTGGGTCTGGCCTGAGAGCTGACCATCGACGGCAGGACGTCGGCTGGGCCGGACGGCCCGTGTGGCCGGACGGCCCTGCAATACAGGAGGAGGGCTCACCAGCAGCGGTAGGCCATCGGCGGGGCCCGGCCGGCCCTGCCGGCCGCACGGCCCGTCAACCGGGCGGCGCTGAAAGAAGAGTCGGGGTCTGCAACCCAGCAGCGACGGAGGAGACCAGGGCGGCCGACCACCTTGGACCGCCAGCCATGTCAGCAGCAGCAGCCGCTGGCCACCTGCAGCCTCTGCACCATCAGCTCAGGCAAGGTTTGGCCAGGATCTGGTCGGGCGCTGGGCTGCTAACCTTCTATCCTTTGCCCAGCTCCGACCCACTGATGTTTCTCTCTGATCTTTTATAAAGGGGATTCTTTTCAATATTGGTCTGGGCACAGTTAGGGGATTTATTTAGGATGTTTAAAATGTTAAACAAAAAGGGGGGGGGGGGTGTATTCAACGGAAACTGCGCTATCTGCTGTCTGATTCTGTAAATTGTCGACCACAATAATTTTCATAAATGCTTATAATTGGGTAGCCACTAGCCATGTTTGGATATTGTGAATCATGAAGGAAAGGTTGGTAATTTAATCGACGAAACTGTCTAGCTTTTCGCGCTGAACATATTTTTTAACGACAAGCTGTCCTAGTTATCGCGTAGGAATTACATTTTTTAACGTTGAATCTGTCTGGTTCCTTTAATTGTAAATACATAGCGTAGTAAAATGTAAACACATTTTTGATGAGGATGTGTTGATGACGGATCAATATGACGGTAAACCCAGGAATGTCACGGGGAAGCCGCGAGTACGACAGCGAAACACGAATCCGACACTGCTTATTTAGGTGGTACATCTTTGCACTGTTTTATTAAATGCTTTTTCATCCAGAAGCATTTGTTAGGAGATAAGTTTCCGCTACCTTTGGTGTAAATTGACGACGATATTCATAAGGAACTTTCAGCAGTTGATCAAGTTATTCCCGGCAAACATTTGAGAGCGAGACCAAATCATCAGCTCTTTGTAGGTCTGAGATATATGTTTATTTCTTACCTATCCTTAGCAACCGATTATAGAATTTGGCACGCAGGCTGATAAATTCATGACTTGGTCCTTATTAATGAAGGGTTGCTGGTTAATCTAACGCATCCATTGTGATTATTCTTCGCTTCCGAAAGCATAAATATGTTTTGTTGTCGTTGTTCTTCTTTAGCTTAACGTCAACTGCTATTGTCCATTTATGTAGAAATAACTAGGATTTAATGAAATGGAAAACGACGCTTGTCTGTTACAATGAACATCGGTACTATTCTCTCACAGGAATATAAATGTTAAATTATTTACTTCGGCTAGCGTGCATCTGACATTTATCGTGTTGCTGTTCTTGCATACGATTTAAATCATCTTTTCATGCCACGAACGATTATGACGTATGACTTAATTAGGTCACTGATAGCAATTGCGATCACCAACAGCCGACAAAGGATAGTGCTCCTCACTGACAAGTAATGGGCTCCAGCGCCCCAGTGACCGTCTCTCGCTCGGCGGCCGCGCTGCCGGTCCCATGTTTGACGGCCAGCCGCCGCGCCGATTCACCCCTCGGAATGCGTAGTGGGGGAAGCACACGCAGGGGGGAGGGGGCGCTCCGGCCAGGCGGCGGCGCACAGACGCCGGCCGGCCCGCTCGGCGCGGGGGCGCCCGCAAATGGCGGCCGGCGCGGTGTGAAGGGAGTGAGGGGCGGTGGACACCGAGCCGGATTGATGACGTCACCACCCTAACTACGGGTGGATTTATGTAAGATACAGAGTAGCGAAACAGGTTCCGATGCAGCATTTAATGTACGATCAACACGTTGAAAGCAAGATTAGATTTGTGGTCAATTAGCTCATTCTAGTATCGCAATGAACCCCTTTTTTCCAATGTCATGGGTAGGTAATTGGTACGAGTAGGTTTGATCAAATTTAAAGTGAAATTATAAACTCGGTTGGAAATGTTAATAAATATCTTATCTCTTAAATTTGTTAGCAGTTAATCAGTGACATTTGGTCATGTTGCAAATAAAACACGGCGATTTATAAACCGGTCCGTCGCGTCGGTCAATCGATATGAAGCCCTATTGGTTTATGATTTGTTGAGTGCTGGTCTACTAGCTATAGTTTCTCTCTCTCTCTCTCTCTCTCTCCCTCTCTCTCTCTCTCTTTCTCTCTCTCTCTCTCTCTCTCTCTCTCTCTCTCTCTCTCTCTTCCTCTCTCTCGCTCTTTGGCTTCTCAGCACCGATAACAACGAGCGATCGGAGGAAGATATTTATAGCAACCAAGCGGAGGTGCGCCCATGAACTGGGGTCAGCGGACAGTGTCGCGGGCCGGTGCAGTGGACAGTCTCGGAGGCCGCCGGCAGCGGCCGGACCTGGGCCACTAATGATCCGCTGGTACCCCTCGCGCCGTCAACAAAGGGGAGAGACGGGGTCGGGCTGATTCCGGCTTCGAGTGAGCGGCGGCCGGGCGGAGTTAGGTTATTATGAATACTGCGAATGATACACCGAACGCTACCGTGCGGCACCATATGGTGGAGGGTGGATGACGTCACGCGAGAAGGTGTTATCCCACCGAGAGGGGATCATGATTAGCACCGGAGTTAAATAGAAAGGCCAGTTTAAAATTGATTATTTAGCGTTAATATGTTCAATGATACGTGTTCGACGGTGAATATTAAATGGAAATTAAATCTTGATTATTAACCAATTTGCACCTATACATTTTAAATTTTCATTATTTCATATCAGGGTAAGATGCTAGCTTGATTTCAGCTTGTAAGCCGTAAGGATAATAGGACTCCATATCTTCCCATTGAGAATAGAATACCCGACTTTGACTCAGATAGCGAGGCCGTAAGTCTATGCATGTCGCTCCCCTGTGAGTGATATGCCTGCCAACGTGACTCTCGCACTTACTTTAGGTATTGGGAACAGGGTATGGGTTGCAGTTGCCTACTGAGAATTTGTCACGGGAAGGGAACATTGCTGCTGAAATATTTGCCTTATTTGTTGGGTTACGTTATTTGAAGTCGGTCGTGCTAATTATGGGTTTCTGATTGGATGACGGGCTGGTGAGATATTTGCCCTTATCATCAGTATGTTCCTTTGAAGGCGTCCACAGTTCGAGCGAACATTCAAGTGATCGGTTTAGGAACGGGTGAGAGAAGTGAGCGGAAGGGAAGAGAATGCGTACAATATTAAACGAAATCTTTTAATTGACGTTCAACTGCGAAGAAGGAACCACACATGCTAGTCCCCGATCGAGTAGCTCCGGCCGTGCAGAGGTCCTTTGAATTATGTCATTGACGACAGTTTAACTATCAGCAGCAGACAGATAGGGCTTAGGGCACCTATAGCGCTGATAGAAGAGGATGAGTGTGTAGCCGAAGAAGGCTAACCGTTTGGTCGCCGGTGCTGTCCCAAAACCCGTGGCTATACGGAGACGATGCAGGCAGCCCGGACGGACCTAGTTACGCAGCCCGGTTTTAAAGTATTAGATAAGCCCAACGGGGAACGTTTAGCTCTTTATGTAGGCATTTTGGCATCGCTGTTAGTCATGGATTCGTGTAAAGCCGACGAAGACTAACCCGTTTTGGTCGCCGGGCTGGCCCGAAAACCGTGGCTATACGGAGAGGACGCAGGCAGCCCGGACGGACCTTAGTTAACCAGCCCGGTTTTTAAAGGATAGGTTAGGTCCACTATCTCTCCATCGATTGGAAGCGCAGGATGACATTCGAAAAAGCAACGAGGTAGTTGGGAGACGGTTAGGACCCCTGGCGTCCCATCGAGGAGACGAATGCCGCCGGATGAGTAATGCCCCGCGAGGAAACGTATGATGCCGAGGGACAGGGGTAACGCTATATACTGAGCATGTGAGTCGGGTGATCGCTGTAAGACGGTGCTGGCCACACCGCT